AGAAAAAAGTGCACTTTCATTAGCGAATGGTTGACAGGTCGAGGGCTGCAAAAGCTTTGCAGCATTCATGAAGGTGTGTTTAAAAACTAGAGTATATTTGAGTTACGTGATTTTTAGGTTTTAAAGCTTGAGCAGCCAAATCAATTGCTGGTCAATGTGTAGAAAATCACGGCTGCTGATCTTGTCCCATGCATAAAAAAGTAGTTGTCCCCAGAGGATGAACTGCTTTATATGAATAGCGAATGAACAAATGCTGTAAACATTTTTCACACCGTGGGATGATGCTTGCATGTGAAAACCCTACAGTGGTGCCAAACACTATAAGTGACTGCTAAATTTTACAACATTTGTTGATCACACAAGTAATTCACACGAAGAATCCTTCAATTAAAAATTGTTCAAAACGCATTTGTTAGAACCAATCTTCAAAAGTTCAAATGCCCAGGGGGTTCCCTGAGGGGGATGTTGAAGCTTCGATTTGATCAACCCATAAGGTCATTTACCTTTGGCATTATCATTGTCATTTCTTCCAACTATCGTTTTTCTTTGAGACGGTGGTTTAGCACCTACACAGAAGGAAGTACATTAAGTGTGTGGCATGTAATACAATAACAGAAAGCATAATTCAGTAGCAAAATTTCATAGGTCATCATCACCATCATCATCATTACCTTTGGCATTGTTACTGTCGCTCCTTATCTTTTTTCTTGTAGAAGGTTGTTCAGCATCTACACAGTATGAAGCAAATTAAGTGTGTGACATAATACAATAACAAAAAAGCAGTATTTACGGTAGAAGCAAAATTCCAGAAGAAAATCGGAAAATCAGCCGCTTCCAACAGCAAGACAGATAGGAAAATGTCAAAACGCAAACAAAGCAATCAACAGGAAGATGCAATACAGAAGAAGAAGCAATCGACTGTGTCTTCGTACTTTGTAGTTGATTTTTCCATCATACGAAAATAAAATTTCAAGCAGCCGAAACAATTTCGCACGAAAACTTACAGCTACGTAAAAGATACGCAAGCTTGAACACTTTAGACAATTCCACTGAAAATCTCACCTCTTACTCCTTCTGCCCGAGTATTATGTTCCTCTAAAATAGAATCCTGCATATCAACAGCATT